GAATACAGTCTGGAGTATGGATTACATCTCAAGATAAAGAAAACAAAACTCCTCACAACTGGACATATAAGCAGCATTACAATAAATGGAGAAAAGATTGAAATTGTCAAAGACTTCACATTGCTTGGTTCTACAATTGATGCCAATGGAAGCAACAGTCAGGACATCAGATGACGTATAGCACTGGGCAAATAGGCTGCAAAGGCTACAAAGCACTCTTTCAAGTGCTGAAGAGCAAAGATGTCTCCTTGAGGACTAAGGTGCGCCTGACTCAAGCCATGGTATTTTCATTCACCTCATATGCTTGTGAGAGCTGAACAAATGAATAAGGAAGACCGAAGAAGAATTGTTGCGTTTGAGCTGTGGTGTTGGGGAAGAATGCTAAAAGTACCATGGACTGCTAAAAGAACTAACAGGTCTGTCCTGGAGGAAGTGCAGCCAGAATGCTCCTTAGAGGCGAAAATTGTCAGACATCGTCTCGTATACTTTGGTCATGTTGTCAGAAGGGACCATTCCCTGGAGAAGGATGTCATGCTTCGTAAGGTAGAGGTAGACAGGGTGGCAGTGGCAATGGGTTCAAGTGTGGCAAGAATCATGGAGCTGTCTCAGACCGGGCGGTGCTTCATTCTGCTGTGCATAGGGTTGCTATGAGTCGGAGACAACTCAACGGCACATAGCAGCAACATCATATGCCTTCAAATAAGCTTTTAGAGATTGTTGCAGTGGTGGTCACCAAAATGTTAACAATGTATCTCTGAATGCTAAGATTTTGTGATGGATCCTTATTTCATGTTTATACTTCCTTGAATTCTTTAATTTGTGTACAGTGAACGTGTATTATTTTATGAAGGATGTTTTTCAAATGGGTGAAAAAGCAAACATACTCAAACCAAACAAAACTCACTGCCATTGAGTTAACTCCCATTTATAGTGACCCCCACTGGGTTTCTGAGGCTGTAAATCTTTACAGAAATAAATCACCCCATCTTCCTTCTGTGGAACAGCTGGTGGGTTTGAACCACTGACTTTCTGGTTAGCAGCCAAATGCCTTATCCTGTAGAATAAACTTTTCTTTTTTTTTTTCCTAATTTATTTAAAGAATGATACTATCTTCTAGGTATATCATTTTTTCTTTTATATGAGTAATTACCTTCGAAACATTGTTTTTCTTTTTCCCTAGGTCTCATGACCCGTCTTCGCTACCCAGTTGGGCCGATGGGGAGCTGTTTGCCCGCCACTGCTGGTTTTAGCTATGGTAAAGTATACTCAGGGAGCCCTGGTGTGGCAGTGGTTAAGTACTGAAATACTAACCTTGGTAGTTTGAACTCACACAGTGGTTGTGTGGGAAAATGATCTGGCAATCTGTTTCTGTAAAGATTCTCACTGCCGTCGACTTGATTCTGACTTGTAGAGGAGCTCTGGTAGCGTAGTGCCTAAGGCACATGACTGCTAACCAGAAGGCTGGTGCTTCAAACCCATCAGCCACTCCTCGGAAGGAAGGTGGGGAAATCTACTTCTGTAGTGATACTGCCTCGGAAACCCAAGGAGGGGTCACTATGAGTCGTATCTGACTTCATGGCAGTGTATTTGGTTTATTTTTTTTAGGGGGGGGGGGTTTCCAAAGCTGTACATCTTTATGGAAGCAGACTGCCTCATCTGTCTTCTGTAGTGCAGTGGGTAGGTTTGAACCACTGACCTTCTGGTTAACAGCCAAATGCCTTAACACTGCACTACCAGAGCTCCTTTCTGTGAAGATTATAGGAAATTCAATGGGACAGTTTAACTATGTCACATTAGGTCACTATGAGTTGGAATCAACTCAACAGCACCTAAAAACAACAACAAACAAAGTATACTAATTTGTTGAAGTAAATTATCAAGTCCAGTAAAAGATCTACTACAGTTCCCTATAAAAAACAAAACCATCCAGTTGCTGTCAAGTCAATTTTTATGTCTCCACGTGAGCCATGTGTGGCAACCCCATCAGGTAGCTCTTTGAGAGGAACCAGGAGTGGCCTTGGAGACCTCAGGACCAGCAGGATATCTGGGTTGAAAGGAGCAGGAGGAGGCAAGGCTAGCCCTCAAGCCCCTAAAGCCAGGAAAGGGAGGGACCAGAAGCAGCCTTGGGGACCTCAGGAGTGACAGGATAACCAGGTTAAAAGTGGTGGGAGGCATGGCTAGGCCCCAAGTCTCCTAGAGCCAGGAAAGGGAGGGACCAGGAGCAGCCTTGGGGACTTCAGGAGCAGCAGGACATCCAGGTTAAAAGGGGCGGGAGGCAAGGCAGGCCCCAAGCCCCCTAGAGCCTGGAAAAGGAGGGACCAGGAGTGCCAGGGACCACAGGGTGGCAGGTTTCAGGTAGGAATTAGGTAAAAGGAGGGTGCAGAGGTTTCCAACAGCTAAGGGAGACAAACTTGTCTGTCAGTTTGTCATCCTGTGAGGCTTGTATATTGCTGTAAGGCTTGAGGCTGTGCCACTGGTGTTTCAGATGCCAGCAGAGTTGTACATGGTGCACAGGTTTCAATGCAGCTTACAGACTAAGACAGACTAGGAAGAAGGAGGAGGCCATCCACTTATCAAAATTGGCCAGGGAAAACCTTATGAATAGCAGAGAAACACTGTCTGATACGTTACCGGGCAACTTTATGAATAGCTTGGAAACATTGTCCGACAGTGCAGGAAGACAAGCCCCTTGGGTTGGAAGGCACTTAAAATAGGACTGGGAAAAGCTGCCGCATTAGAGTAGAACCAACCTAAATGATATGGATAAAGTAAGTCTTTCAGGACCTCCATGTGCTTACGTGGCACCACTCAAATTGAGGAGAAACAGCTGCAAACATCCATTAATAATTGGAACATGGAATGTACAATGTATGAATTTAGGAAAATTGGAAGTTGTCAAAACTGAAATGGACGCATAAAGGTTGATCTCCTAGGCATTGTTGTTGTTGTTGTTATGTGCCGTCGAGTCGGCCCCGACTCATAGCGACCCCTCCTTGGGTTTCCGAGGCAGTATCACTA